GAAAGAGGACCGGACAGGCCGCACTGGGAGGCACTGGCACTGGGAGGCGGATGGCATGTCCCTAGGAAAGGTCCTTCTCCTAAAGACACCACGAAGTGGAGAAGGGATGGAAGATGTGCTCCTGCCCCTAGACTACAAGGGACTTTCCGGTGGCATGCAAGGTACACGACATGGCCACCACTGTGGCTACCACACATGAAGGATGGACCACCAGACATGACACGGGGGTCTCACCCCAACCCCTGCCCCTGGTGATGACCAGCGCTTTGGAGGACATATGGGAAAATGGGACACCAATTCTGGCCGGCTTGATGCCAGGTTTGCAGATAGAGGAGAGAGAGGACATTTAAAGAGGACGTTTTCCTTTGGCTCTCATGCGTGCGACTCACCCAAGGAGCTCGCTGCGTGAAAGCGAGAGCTTGCAAGACGAATAACACAGCATCACCCCCTGCCCGGAGCACTGCCTGCAAGGCTCCCGGCATTTTCCAGACCCGGACACTGGTCTGTAGCCATGGCACCAGGTCCTGGTGGCCAGCGTGGCCACGTCCCAGGTCAACATGACCCACAAGCATGAGATGAGGGGGGTGCACCGCTTTGGCCCCCCCTTCGGCTCTGCCCAGGGAGGTGCTGCGTCCTTGGGCTGGGCTTTTCCTGCCTGCCCCTGCCCACAAGGCATTTTGAGGCAGAAAGAGCATGTTTTGGGATTATCCATCCTGTTTTAGGTTGCAGCATGGAACTTCTTTTAAAAGCCTCCTGGGACAGATCTGTCCTGCTAAATAGGTGCGTGGCCGCTTCCTACACCCACAGCTTCTCCCTGCTCTTAGCCGGGGTGTGGTGCAAAACCACAGCGAGCCAGAAAAGGTCACCAGAAAACAAACACAAGGCTATTCCTAAAACCCTGCCGGAGCCAAGCATGGGAGGACAGCCCGGGAGGTCCTCACGGGGCTCTGGTGAGTGCCTGGTGCAGGCAGCTGAGCCCCACTGCATGGCAGGAGCACCACAAACCCAACGGTTTTGCCCTTCTCCCTCCAGTCCCTGGACTCTCTCCACCGCTGTGCCTTGGTGGAAAGGTCTCGGTGCAGAGGTTGTTCATGGGCACGCTCCCAGCTCAGCAAGATTTCCTCTTCCCCCAGGAGCTCCAGGTGGGACTCTCACACCCGTGACCAGTGTCTCTGCCCCTCGTGCCAGTGGTCTCCAGAGCCGGTTTGCTGCCCAACCAGACCCCACGACCCCCCTGGGAGCATGCACAGAGGCTGGTCCTTACCTTTGAATCCCCGCATCCCCACTGGACCTGGAGGGCCAAGGTCTCCTTGGTCCCCTTTCAAGCCACGTGGTCCTGGTGGTCCTCTCTCCCCGGGTAGCCCTGGAGCGAGGACAAAGAGGCAAAATGACCCTGTTGCAGCAGAGACCTACACAAACCCGATGTGCGCACACATTCACGCGCTCACACGTGTCCTGCTTGCCAGCAGACGTGCCAGGTGGTCTCCGGTTCTTTGCCAGAAGTCGGGGACCATCAGGAGACACCTGAGAGTCCACCTCATCCTCTCTTTATGCACCTGCCCCTGGATACAGGATGGATTTAACCCAGAGATGGGCTGGTGCTAATGCAGCTCTGAGCATCTTAAGGCTCAGATTAAGGTAACTGGGCTCCAAAGCTGGAGACCAAGAAGGAAGAGCGAGGAGCCAGGGTAGAGCAGAGACCCCAAGGAGACATGATGTGCCCAGCATGAGCTGCACGTCCCTTGCATCCACGCTTGCTGACCAGGTGGGTTGCTATTTATTGGAGAAGGGTTTGGATTAAAACCCCTTATCTGAGCACCCCTGACCTCCAGGAGGTGGGAAATGGGGGCTTTAGTCTGGGAGCTTGGGCTTCCTTCGTAGGCGACACATCCAAGCCCTGGAGGTGACCTCCATCCACACAGGCCAGCAAGGGGAGGTGGAGTGAGGGACCCCTGTGATGGTGAAGGGCTCTGGTGGGACCTGGGGGTGGGCCCACCAGACCGACCCAGCAGGGACTCAGCCTGAGCCTGAGTTTGGGTCAGGTCTGAAGCTCCTTGGGGGAGAAGCTCCTCCAGCACCCGAGCTCAGCCCCCTGCCTGGCCCGATGCTGCTGGTCTCCCCTCCCCGTGCGGAGGGAGCCCTGGATTCCCTTGGCACTGCGCCTTCCGCCCCTCCTGGGCAGGGCTTTTCCAAACTTAGTCAATATTTCCTCTGGTTTAAGAGGCAAAAAAAGCTGCCAGGAGGAATTTGGGCACCAGCTCCAGTGGACATGCTCTGGGGCTTAATTCTTTCCCTGCTGTGTCTGGCCAACACCTCGCCTCCCTCCCGGGGGGGATGCTGCAGCGTGTCAGGACCTGGCTTCGTATTCGGGTAGAGGAGCTGAGGCAGGAGCAGGATGGTACATTTGCTGTGCAAAAGGGGATTTACCAGGGATGCTTTACAACGCCTGGCTGCACCTGAACCTGACCTTCTCATATCCAAAGGGCTGGTGCTGCGACCGCATCCAGAAAAGCACCAGAGAAAAAGACCTAAAAATAGTGGCCCTTTCAGCAATTCTTCCCGAAGGTGAACCTCCAGAGATTGTTTTGTTTTTCTGTTTAAACAAAGAAATAAAAAAAAAGAAAAAGCAAAAAGGAAAGAAGCCAGACGATATATTTCTGATGCTTGTTACACCCAAGAAAAACAGCCATGAATCTGTCAACGCAAAAAAATACAGCCGTCGGTGAAACGAGCACGGGCAGCCAGCGCTGAGAAGGGCTTTCAGAGAGCGATCGGGTTTCCAGGCTGGCTCTGCCTAACTTGGCTGGTCCTGCTGCCCGCCGGGTAGAATCGGGGTACCAAAATGTGAGGTTTTAAGCCCAGCCCAGTACCGGCAGCTCAGATGCACGGGGCCGAGACGCTGAACCTGACTCTGACACCGATAGTCCTACATGGGTCGTGTCTTCAGCAGTCAAGGTGAAGCTAGGGCTGGACATCCTCTGGGATGGAGAAGGAGGTCCCTGCCCCAGGCAGGACAGATTCTGTCACCTCAAGAAGAAAGAGCCCCTTGGGGACAGAAAGTCCTCACCAAAGGGGATCCTCCATCACCTCTGTGCCATCCCCAGCTCTTGGATGCAAAGCCAATATTTCTAGGTTTGGCTTAAAATTAGAAACAGGCTCAAGCCGAGTCGTGTTTCTCGGGGT